GACAGATGCATTGTCGGATGCGCTTCGTACCGAACATGCAGTCCCTGAACACGTCAGTTATCCTCTAAATAGAAGCTCTCAGGGTTTCGGAGCGTTTTGTGGATCTTGGAAGTTGTATAGGCTCCGATTGCAGTGTGAAAGATGAGGACAATGCACGAAGCCCAAAGGCTTGGGTCGCGTTTTCTAATTTGAGACACCCATGACAGGAAAGCAGCATATCTCTGGATGTGTGAATCAAGTTAGAGTATGGGTCCTTTTGTCATATGGCTGTGAGCAACCAGGCCGAGATGTCTTCAGATTGTTAACAACCTTAGCACGTGTAGGCTGACACCGACGAATTCGCAACGAAACAGTTTTGTAACAGGGACTCCAACCGGAGAATTTATCCAGCATCAAAAGTTGAGGTGATTTGGTCGTGTATCGCGCATGCCAACTAATCGTTTAATGAAGATAGGGCTGTTTTCTGTGCCCAATGTAAAGTGGCGCAGGCAGATAGCCAACTTTTGGCCTGGCACCGGGATATGATACAGATTACGAAAAGTTTAGGTATTGTCGGTGTGACACGTCTTCCAGGATGGAGAACGTGTGACCCCCACTGTACCTGCTTGGAGATGCTGCAAGATATGATTCCCAATCGATATCAGTGACGTTCTTCTAACCAGGTTTCCCGGATGACTGTCTGGAGTTATAAACAACTTGGAATGATTGTGGTAGCCTAACACACGGTCTTTTCCCCATCCGTTTTTTTCTTCACAGTACGCGGCAAGTTTTAGTGCTGAACGACGCTGAAGATTATTTTTTTTTACCACTGCATCAGCTACCCATGATATTATAACGGTTGATATTATTATACGGTTGGGCAGTGTTGTGCTGACGTGACATCGTCCTTATAGTCAGCATTGTGTTGCTATGAAACGCCGCCACTCCTGATAAATCAAAACACAACAAACCAGAAGTATTGTGTACCATCAGTCAGGCAGGCAAAAAAGTATGGGATTATGCAAAACGGTAGGTTGCCTAGCAATAGGTAATGGATAGCCAAGAGCACGTGTTGCCCAATCGAATTATTCTATAGATCAATCGTCCTCAACCTTGAGGGGGGGTGAAGAGAAGATCCCAGATACGAGGATAATCTATCGGTGGAAATCGTTTAAATCGTTTAAACCTGACTCTCAGAATTGTTTTTTGACTTTGTATTCCACTATGTTATGGAATTTTTCTATCATAAAGTCAAAACGCAACGTAGTGGAATAAGTTGTTGTAATCCGACGTTTCTCAAGGATTTCTACAATCAATTGAGTACGGGTCAAATGCAGCGACATTTGGGTCCACTACCGTGTCTTTTGATTGGTGCATCCCTGTGATCAGTTGGCAGTCAGATTGAGTCAGTGTGCGTGGGCGCTCTGATGAACATGTGCTTCCGTTTGTTGTTGTGCAGGCTGTGATCCATGCTTGCCTGCTCTAGTGTGCAGTCCAATACAGATAGACGGGATGCTGGCGCCATTACTCCGGTTGATGTAGTTCATCTGTGAGTTGACCTCTTGGGCCTCAGCACACGTCAGTTCCGCCTGTGACTTGAATCCTGATTGTAGTATACGTGTACCATCAGAACTGATTTGATGGTTTGACTCAAGTGCGTGGAATGCAGTGGCTAAATCACATTCTAGTTTTTTTTCAACTCCATTGGGTTTCAAGGAAGAAAACGCGCATGTCTTTTGTGCTCCGCGATCCGTACATGGAGTTGCCTAGCTGTCTGGCCTACGTACTTTGCTAGACATTCTGCACAGAGAATTTGGTAGACAGTTTGCACGGTGTTTAAGATCGATTGGGTCCCTAGCCCTCACAAGGTGTTTCTAACGTGTTATCCACTCAATGTTTTACTATCATAATCACGAAGTGTTTTTTCGAATGGCGTCTGAAGTACCAACTCTATAGGGTATTCCCACGGTGACCATTTGGTTTTTGTCTTCCTGTCTCACCATTCCGAGTGACGTTCTTCCCATTTGTTGGGCAATGGGCCTCATGGGGCAGTTATTTTACTGTATACCCTACTGAATCACGCCAGTTCGTCTGCTCGTATGGATTCGTCCGAGCATTGCTTCTTGATGTGATTCGTCGGCGATTCGACAACTGCGCGTGTGGATGCGAAGACTCATGATGCAAATACCTGTTTGAATGTGTAGGTTTTCTATGGATTCCCACTGAGAATCCATGGTTAGCGTTAACCGATAGCTGGCAGCCCAGGAAACGAACGGTCCTCTGCTCAATCTCATTTTAAAACGCGAATTGTATACCACTGCATTGTTCATTCAAGCAGTTTAGAAAGGCTTGCAGTCGTGTGGTTGATATGATCGTAAATATGTCGTCAACATATCTCAGTCAGGTGCGTGGTGATCATAAGGGATGTGTCATTACGACGTCCGTGTTGGTACTGCACCCACTTCATCGATATACTTTTCGCCTAGTGGTGAAATTCTAGTGTTGCAAAACGAACCGAATGTAATCAGTGTGCTTCTCAAATGTGTTCTCACTGTTCATCCAGTGGATAGATTATAGTGCATGAGGGACGAACTATATGCGGGCGGTATACTGTTCTCTCTTTTTGACCAACAGGTTTGGAACGACGAATTGAGAGAATTGGATTTAGGCTGGGCAACGTGGCTGACATAAAAAATATGATGAATATATGTTTGGTTCCAGTTCCTGAAGAGCTAGTAAGGAAATATAATGCTGTTAACTAGTTCAACGTCCAACGAGCGGTTAATTCACCAACATCTTTAAAATGAGCGAAGTTATTACGCTTCGTTCTTCCGGATTATGTTTTATTAGGCTCTAATAAAGTTCATTTTGATTTCCGTGTACTCGTCACAGGAAATATTTTCGAGTGACTTGGAATAGTTTTTAGGTGACCCATTGCGACATAATGAAAAACGCAGGTTACGGGAAATATGCTGAAAACTACTACTCTTGATCAGTCGGTGGGGTGCATTTGGTTAACCAGAAAAAAGACAACTTGGGGTCATTAATACTCGACTTCCTATGCTTTTTGCATGCAGTTTCGAGAGAATGTATGCCTCATAGTCTCGAACTATGGACTTATTTCGAAAAAAAGCCGGCAAGATTGTGACTTATCAAGAGTGGTGAATGAGGAAGCCACGGACACTACTGAAGACTGCCAAAAAGACGTAATAAACTTTATCTCCTCTGGGTTGCAAGAAGATGAGGAAGAATACGAGTTCGATGCGGAGGTTTTCGCATAATGGATTAAGCGAGAAAGAACCTGAGTTGATGAAACCGTGGTAGTCCACGGAAGAAGCTGTCAACAAACATGTCGAAATCAACCCCACTGGCAGCAAGAAAACACCAGAACTACAGGGCTTCGAGCCGCACGGGGAACATGACGATGAATTCGTGGAAGAAGCAGGAAGCTCATTTCAAGCGGACACAGCAATATGATCGGAGGCACCCTACCAATAAACCAAAGTACCAGATTAACCGGTAGACGCAGGGACAACAGACGTTACAACCAATCGATTTCCACAACGCAACGTAAATTGAGAAGGGGGCCAATCAGAGCAAATTAAGGGACCAATGAAAGTGGGGGGCATTAGGATAACTAATTGACTCAAAAGCCTAGACCACAACGCAGCAAGGATCACAAACGGATCAATAAAGTGAAGAAAACGCCGTTTTCAAACTGGCCTACCACGTTAGGAGACAATAGATAATCTGCGATCGCCAGAGAAACGCACGCAGGCAAAGAGAAAGTACCCAAACAGCCATGTATTGACGTCTTCTCGTATGGTGACGAAACGTATACAAGTCGACTGCCAAGCTCGATGAACAGATCAATAGCCACCTGATCAATAACCAATAAGCCAAGGTATTCTATTTACATCAACACTAACCATCTGCAGCCTGTCACACTTACAGCTTTGCCATCATCCAGCCTGCTGACAGGTGTGTGACATCAGGAAGTACAAACCAGTAGGAAGAAAAATCCGGAACGTGACGTCAAGAACCAGTTTTTATGGTCATACTCTCAAAACAGATCAACTGGAAAGAATATTGCAATTACGTATTCAGTGGTTGCTCTTTAGGTAGCATGCTGGTGGTACTGACCAAGATCGTTCTCTCATGCACGAATTCATCTCTACAGCGGGTTCGGTCCTCTTAGGCAGTACTGCAGGTAGATCGGTCAACAACACCCAACGTAATTAAGAAAGTTTCAAGTCAAAACACAGCGCGGTGGAGTGGGATGGTTCGACGTTTCGATTATAATGGGCAGTCTTTTTCAAGGACTTTTACAATCAATTGTCCATTGCGTTTTGACTTTAAGCATCCCACAGTGCAAACTACACGGCACACAATTTCCTCAATAAAATAAGTTTGGCTGTGTGGATTTTTCTAAGGACAGGAAACATTAACACTGTTACAATTCAACTCTCAGTGGAAATCACCGTACTGGGTTAGCATGACCCGCGAAACTAAGGATCGACAGAGATGAAACCTGAGATTATCGTCCAGTTAAGCCAATAACTTGAATAATAGGACTGCTATTATTTAATCAGACGACGATGACTATGTTTAGATAGCATTGTTGAACACAACAAGCAGTTGTATACATTGTTCCGATTGGTTGATTTTTCGTCGATGGTTGTGGTAATCGTTCGGCTGTAACATCCTTTAGGTGTCTAACTGCCATGCCACTAGAAGAAAGCATGAATACTGGGATACTACCAGGTTAATCGAATCTAGGCAGGAGAAGTCGAGAGGCAGAGGTCGGATTCGAAACATGGACCTTCCGGTCAGTAAATTCGCGCTCTAACCACTGAGTCATCTCACCCCAAGGGTTGTGGGCTATGGAGTGTCCTTCGATTAAGGATCTGGGTCGACGAAGATCAAATCTCGTATGCGGAATTCTCGTCAAAGGGGATCCCTTTAAAGAGGAATCTCATTTGAAAGCAGAAAGTCAAGATGAGTACTTGAACAGTACAAGAGAGAAGTTGGATTTATTTGATGCCTAGTCATTTGCGAACTAGAATCAAAGGAGAAATCATAATTTCTTTTAAAACTCCGACATCACAGGCACGGAGAAAGAATTAGCATGCAGTCACGGTACATAAGAGTTCTGTGTCAAGAAGTTTCAACAGGAGTTGAGCTCGTGGAACTCGGGCGCCGTCTGCCAGAACGTTCCGACTCGGGGTCGGACAATGTGTAGGCTGGATGATATCCTGAGCGGCCGGACTCACTTACATATCTCAAACGAGGATTCGGGTGTGTGTCTTCCATGCTTCCAAGAGAGGTGTACCTGTTTTGAGGTGAATAAGTGAAACCCCAAATGACGTGGTAAATAAAGTAAAACTGTGAAATGGATTGCGTTATTTTAATATAAGACTAAAAACGAAGGGCCGGAATTCGCACATGGTTCTTGGTCAAATGTCTTTGCGAAAAAGTGATCAAGAAACGTACAGCTATGAGGCCTGCTCAGATTAACCAAGAGATAGTCGATCCAAAAAGACGTCATATTCAGAACTGAACATCTTCGGAAAAACCTAGTCTTAGCATATCCTGAAGTGAGGAGACGAGTAAGACAACGATACAAAATCAGGTGTATTAGGTCTAAAGAGATACCGTTTCAAATGGAACACATGGCCCAGAGAATCCATGCATTATGGGACAGCTTCATGCAAAAATTTATGCTTCCGAAGGGCCCATCGTTTGCCATGCTAGCCAGTTCATGATATTCCCCCGCGAAGAGTGAGTAGTGCATTACGCCTACACATGTACCGGGATATCTCGAATATCGTAGCTACTGAAACATGAGGCAACCTGGTGTAGCACATTTGGGTATTCAGGGGGTTAGAGTGCAATCCTAAAAGGTGAATTATGGGGTGAAATTCAACGAACCTATAGCTTCTAAACTGTTTAAAACCCGGTTGAAGTCATTCTGAAGCTAAAAGGAAAAGACACACCCATTGCTCCATCCATTCGAGAAAATTTGCACTGAATCAACGACAGAAACTCTATGGAAGGACTGAAGAAAGTAAATATGAAAGGCACTACATATTCATGTTAGAATAATAATCTAGTTGTCGTTTTCGGCCCGACAATCCTTGCTGGATTACCTACATTGCTCTCGCAAGAGGAGATACTCCAAAAAGGAGACAGAAGGCTCTCATACAAAGAAAGCCCACATCTGAAAGTCGGAGGTTCATACAATCTCCAGCACTATTGTCGCTCTGTCGATCACATTCCTCGATTTTTTCGCAACCAGAAGAGTGTCATATGCAATCAATTAGTACTAAAAGTTTGCAGAATACTGAACAACTTTTCTTCTTAACAGGAAGCATCAACAATTGGCATTTCAGTAGCCTCGAGATCTGTACCACAAACCGTCGAGGGATACGTGGAGAATCCTACCACTCATCTGCAGATGGGTGGCTGATCAGCAGTTTGTTAAAATTTGTGAACTTCACGTAAACTTTGGCCAATGACAATAGTCTTCCCGTGTGTATGGTCTGGATTCGAGCTAATAGCGCTTTCCACTTCCCACAGGGGGCCAGAAAACTGTTCACTTGTTCGTTGTTCATGCAGAAACAATGCACCAGTGGACAGCACTTCGACCAAACTAAGGTTTGTGAGCACAGCGAGTACTAGGGTTCGAATCGGAAGGGCAACGAAGTATTTATGGTTGAATATCCAAACGTTCGATCCGTTGAGCAAACATGCCATAATGGCTGCTTGCCTAAGGTTCGTTCTCTTATGATACACCAACTGTTTTGTGGTCTGGTTAGCTTACGCTACTTAAAAATATAAATTCGCTTTGACCAATCTTGTCAGATATTGAAATGATTTCCACAAAACTGATTAAGGGCAGTCTAAACAATGGGCTAGAGCAATTTGTTGCGATCAGCCAGAAGTAAAGACGTTTTCAGGGAAGGTTTGCGCCCTCTCTCCTGTGAAATCGATCGGCACAGTGAGCGCCAATCAATACTGAAAACTGACAAGAAGTACTGCCCCTCTACTCATGGAAGTGTGCATCACCAAGCGGTTTTCAACCCTGCCTATGCAAAACAGCCATCAGAACGTAACTTACCCAACATCATAGAGACTACAGTATGGCAATGAGAGACGTCTTATGAACCGCCACACCTCTTCGTATGTCCAGTCCAAGATCGGATTAATCCTCATTAGTTGCGGCCAGCCCGGATCAGTCATGACCATCGGACGGAGATGAGCTGGACCGTATATAAAGAAGATAATGAAATTCCGATGAGTACATTAGCCATTTTGACAGGGCACAAACTATTCAGCGCTACCGAAGTATCTTTTATTACGTGGATAACAATTTAAGATGACGACGAAAGTAGGACCCATTTAGACAAAAGCTCTTCGCCAATCTCTGAATTCGGTTGTTTGCATTTAATCCAGAGTCTGTGATGTTAATCCGAACACCTATCCAGTTATCCTCCCTAACCGTCTGCATGGTTGGAGTCGACTAAGTACTTTTAGGCCAAAATAACAAACATACCCGATCTTGGATCCGACAGCCTCGTTCCCATAAATACTCCACGCACATTGGGAAAGTCGCGCAGTAGCCGTTCCAATGACGACTTGATGTCCCCCTCGTAAATGATTAAACTACCGTGCTTTATCTGGTTTTCTCTATCATCCGTCTGCATGCTCTGATCGGTTGGTCGAAGGATAGAGGAGGAAGGAAGGTGATAAAAGTGCACTGTTCGTTGAACGAAATTCTCCAGTTCGGGGAACACGGATCGCGATCGTATGTACAGTAATTTTGGAAAATCCAGCAACGATGCATCTGAATCCTGTCCTGTACTACGGTTCTGTCGTTGAAGATACACGCTATAGATGAGATGGAGCAACACCGTACAATCCTTTCCTCCGTTGAAACCAATAACCAGTTGAGAAGAGCTGGAAGCAAAATAAATGGGTGAAGTAAAATGATCGTTTGGTGCCAGTGAAAAATATCTTAAAACAAAGAGATGGAGAGAAAGGCAGTCTGCAGTTAGCTATCCAAATTTGGATTCGACTAGAATAGAGTGAAAAACTAAGGTTATGTGAGTGAAGCCGGTGTCGTTGTATGAGAGAGAACTGTCGTATTTTTAAGGTTATTGTTGTGAACAGTACTATCACACCGGGAATGCAAGTGTCACATACCTCCAAAGGCAACATAGAGTTAGGACCGTTAGAGAATGAAGACCAAAAAACACCTACAGTGCTTACGTTCAACGAGGAAGCATTTTACTGCCAAATAAATAATCAGTGCACCAGGTCCTCATATAGATAAACGGAATGTCACCAAGCCTCCGTTAACTAACAACACATCTTTCGCAGTTCGAAAAGTGACATTCGGCGGTGGAACTTCAGTTTTACCGCGCTATCGTTGGCCGATGTTCGGATCACGGTGAAATTTCAGATCGTACCCTTTACTGTGAACGTCTATCCCCTGACTCCAAATAGTTCAAACGATTAAAGGTAGTGTCTCTACCACATTAACGTGGACTGCTAATGTTGCAAAACCTATCAAATCTGAAAAAGTTTAGCGAGATCTGTCAGTCCAGTTATGCACACAGTTTAGCACGTAATTTTGTGTACTCTTGTGTTCCCGGACATTTTGTACTGCCCTCTCATCGTTTTCCCTGACTTACCTAAGAAAGACTTTTCTCTACTCAAACGAGGCCTGAAACTCATCCCCGGCTGGTCTTATTTTCACTTGCGGGTTTACGTGTCATCTTTAAAACACGTTCTTCTCAGTCCACAATTTTGCCCAGTGATGTGTCCCACACTCGCCATTCAGACCTCCTATCAGCAGGGCCTTGTTACTGTACCGGCAATGTAGCGTCCCCAATTTGAACTTTGCATGACGCTCGTTCGTAACAATCACAAAAAGGCAGAAACACGGGACAACGCAGTGCTAGTAACGCAGACGTCCTTTAGAGGTTTGGGAAGCTGAAGTTTATTATCTATTTGGTATGTGAGCGTGCTTTTCACAAATCCCGCAACCACCCTGACTGGCTAGTCCATACAGGCGGCCCAGTCGACCGACACAACCAAGGTATGCTACTGGGTCGTCGTTCTAGGTGTCGGACCTATTACTCACATTACCCAAACATGAACATATTCGCCTGTTCAGATGTGAGAGTCCAGCGTACGCTGGTTTAGTGGTGGTAACATGCTCTCCTTGCAGTTCAGACGTGCGAAGTTCAAACAACGGCACGACCAAGGATATACACTGCTGATCCCCTCCAATAAAAAGGAAACTAGGGTCACCGGAATGACTGTGCCAGGACATAAGGACCGCTCAAACCACAACCACCCACCCAGGACAGGAGGACGACTGTTCAAAACGAGATTGATGTGAAACTGAACAATACACCTCCCGCGAAACCTCCCACATGCATCAACAAAAGTTGTCCAGCCGGTTTTCAATCGTCTGTGGCGCTACCTGACTGGGAAGTCCTGGTGAGTGGGCCAATCGATCGTCACAACCAGGATAGTTACTAGGTCGTCGTATCGATGATTTGTCAGGCATACTAATCACATCGCTCAAGCGCGAACACATTCAGACCCATTCAGACGTGCGCTGGTGGAATAGTGGTAACACGTTAGCCTCGCGTATTAGTTGTCCGGAGTTCAAACCCCGCCACGGCCATTGGTTATGCACTGGTGATGAGCCCTAATGAGAGCGAAACTCGAGTCCAGTACTTCCCCCCCACCTTTGGTGTGGATTCACATGAGTGATTGCGCCAGCACAGGAGGACGAATGTTGAAAACGAGTGATGTGAAACTGGACGAAAAAAATAGATAATAGTTATAGGTGGTTGCGGGATTTGTAGATTGCACGCTCACATACCAAATAGACAATGAACGTCAGCTTTCCGAACCTCTAAAGGACGTTAGTAACAGAACAGCAAATAACAGAGTTGGAAATTTCCGGAACAACGGACACGCATCTCAACAAGGTAGAAGCGGCCAACAATCAAACACAAAATAATGCATGTGGTCATTTGGTCCTTAAGACCGAGACGCGCACGGTGAGAGAAAAAGAACACAAGTCAGAGAGGGTTGTCACGCTATCAAGTTTAGCAGATGGTGTGATGTGAATACAGGAATATACTGGCCACAGATATTAGAGATAACGGATGGTCAAGTAGGAATACCTCATAGGTCAGGCACCATAACTAAAATATACACGCGAAAGACCACGGTTAAACGGGCTGGGGAAAGTCAGCAAGAGATGAATTGCCAGAGCGCCTGAGGAAACTTCAATCGGTACAAAGTGACTGAGACCGTTGAGACTCAGCCTCAAGGAAATTTTACATTTAGCTGTTTTTTTCCTGTTTTCTGCTTTGCAGTATTTTTTTTAGAATTGTTAACCACCTCTGTGCTAAGAGTCCCCTGCAACTCACGGAGGATTTGGCGAAGTATGTCTATCGATACACGTGAAAGACAAGCGATCTTACGGCCATCTTACCCTAAAGGATGTTCATACAAGTATATCCTGTAAAATTATGGTGGCTTTTGGATATCTCTGGATGAGCATTGTGCTCAACGGGCTTGTTTGTCACAAATGGGATACAGAAAAGCAGTAAATTCACAAAGCGAGCATTGCAGTCGGCAGGACACAAGAGAACGATAAAATGATGGGATGTATTAAAGAGTTGATAAAACCGATGGTTATTTTGGAATCTACAGTTTTGCTCACGCGTGAAAGTCTGGACATAAAACCATGTGACTGCTTGCATGGAAAGTAGATCTTCATCAAGTCAATGAATGAACTAAGTCAGCAGGGGCAAGGAGCACCTTAGGGGACAAAACCTGATACACTGCAGCGAATACGACATACACTGTGTCAAAGCAAGAGCGATTAACTGTGCAGTTGCATTGCACTTTGACTCCAGGTTCAGTCGCTATGGTCTCAAGTGCAGTGGGTAAAACTTCAAGTGCATCCAGGTCTGCGCTGGAACCCCCTCCTGTTCCAATGACCTACAGTTACGGTACGTCAATGATGCAGGCGTTGTATTATGTTTTCAGGTAACGAGACAGACCAGGTCGAAGGCAAGACGGCCAGAGGGTAATTGAAATTACATTGGTTTCAATTTAGACCGAATACCGAACAGTTCGGGTGCATTTACTCATTGCAAACTTCTATGGCATCAGTTATTATGCGTTGCTATACAACAACGTGGTCACGCTGTTCCCTCGAGTGCTGATGAAATACTCAAAACCAAATCGCCCAACTCGGGGATTAAGTCAATTCAAACAAATTTAATTATGTTCACACCAGATTGGGTGAAAATGAAGCCGAAGTGATCTACATTGTGAGCCGATGGTCCCAAAGGAGAGCTGTGCATTCCGGCTGCTTCATGGACATGGTGGACTGGGCGGATAAAAACAGTTTTCGGACATACAGAACAAAAAAGTCGGAGGGTCGGTGGCTGGTGTATTTACTGCTCTCATCGTAAAACTGTTCAGCGAACTAGACGGACAGGGGGAAATGAACGGACTTCATGCTGCATACTGCAATTCGGACGACGCATCACAGATTTCTATCGCGTCAGGTGTCTGGAACTGTTAAGTGAGAACTATTTTGCGCGAGGAAGATTGGTCTGTGTCCGGTTCAAATAGGGTTTGTCAAGCGATCTACAGGGGAAAAGGTGCATGACCGGAGCAGTTCGTGTAGAGAAGGCCACGCAGCTAGCTGATGTGCGGTAACGCGCCCGGGATAATCCGCCGGAACTACGGTGATTTGAGAACAAGAGTGGCTGTGACAGAAACCGGACATCTGAAGATGGTGCTAAATCGGATATCTCTCAAAGGTCGACTAAAGCGGAACCAACGGCAATGTTACGTTTGCCATGTAGTTGGCCACTTCGCTAGATTTCGGCCAAAAAGGGGTTTTGTCTCTTGCTTTTTAAAGCTAAACAGATCTGATGGAGTCCTGAGATTGTTGATTCAAACAGAAGGGTTAACAAAGTGGCAGTAACTGACAGTGGGACAAAGGTGCCGATCGCAATCAAAATATATGGCTTGCCGTTTAGACCGTGTAACGTAACAGTGTAACTAGTACGGGGAGCGGAGCTGAAAGCGTTGAGCACAGCAAACGCAGGAATTGAATCCTGCTTACGTGAGCTGTTTCATTCGATGCCATTACTCCAGAATGTAAACAGGGCAATTCTAGAGATACATTTTCTACGGTGACTGCAGCAGAAGTCAAGCTAACGAACAGCTGTTTAAGCTTACGAAGAAACCAATCGTCAAACCAAGCGACCGAAGCCATACAATTGAACTGGTTACAATCCTTTGTTCTCCAAGAAACCGTCCAATTGTAGCGCCCTTTCGGTGCCTAACTGCCATGCGACCCAAAGGTTGCACGAGGGCTGGGATACTGCCAGGTTGCCCAAGCCTAGACAGGGGAAGTCGAGAGGCAGAGGTCGGATTCGAACCAAATAGCCAAAATACTACGGTTTTGTGACAAAATGCAGCAAATCAATCCTGCTTACTTAATATCTGTTTTTTTTTTCGCCAATCGCCAGGAGAATACCGAAAAAGCCTACTTCCTGAGGTAAAGAAGCAGTTACAAGAAAAGAAAGCAAAGGTATCATACAGAAAACGCAAACCCTTTATGTGTCACCAGTCCTAATCCGTCACCCTATGTGTCAATCTCGATTTGGAAGGCTGACGCTAGGCGCAGGTTTTCATCGACCAGTGCATGTAACTGAAAATATATTTGCCCATCTACTTGGGGCTCGAGTTAACTCGCTAACAAAGCTGAGTCCTGCATAGTGGCAGCTGCCGGTGGCCTAGTGTGTTAGGTACAAAACAACATTCGCCCACTGGAGGCAGTACACATACCTTCAAACACCTTTGGGTCCCTGTAGTATTCAGGTAACGTTTCAACGTCTGTTTTCGATAAAGTTCTTGACCATCGAATTTGTAATAATGTATGGGGATGGCAAAGTAGTGTCATCAGAGTCAGATGGCAAGCACGTGACGAGATTCAGAAGAGTACTGTAGCGAGCTGGTGAAGTACGTTCCATGTCCAACATTACGAAATACCAGACTTATGGAAATAAGGCTCCATGCCGGAGCCACCTAGTTTGAAAAGGTAAGAATCAACCGTTGCCAGAGAAAACAGAACCTATTAGAAGGCCTCCGTCAAAAAAGACAGTTGAGACTGTTCCTGGAACTTTTAGGCGGCGGGGAGAGGCATATTGCAGAGTTTGTATAATAAACCTCTTCTAATCCTACGAAAAGTATGAAAAGAAACTTTGAGTCACCGATGGAACACACGCCAAATATGCAGGAATCTATCGGTTATTTCTCGGGTGTTCTCTTCTCTTCTCTTCAAGTTTTAATCAGTGCACGCTGAAATGTACCTGCAAAACGTCCAGCCCATCCGTCTGAATACAGAGGATATTCTGGGATGTTTATTTCGTGTAATTTGCAAAAATCTGGGAATCCTTGAGAAACGGACTGGGAACGGTGATCAGAAAAGTACTTTGGATTCATCAAGTTAAGTGAAACAAAATGGTGAAGAAATTTCGGATCGGAGAGTAAGCGTCGACAATTACAGAAGAATGGAACAATTCAAGACTTGTGGGTAGGACTTGCGCTCAAATTTATTGTCATCGCATATTCGTCACAGGACCGAAAAACACTTACAATATCTTGGTCTGTGAGTGGCCAGTAAGTACAAATGCGAGCTATCGCTTTCATACAGCTGATTCCTGAATCATCTTCGTGAGATTGTCCTTCTGCAGTTTTACGGACCATAACCGGTAAGCATGCTCCCTTCGGGTACTGTTCACAATCAGGTTGGTGTAAGACAACCAGTACTATATCAACCTAGGATACGATATCACGATGATTTTTTGCTGTTTCCTCTAGCACTACGCCCAACACCATTAGGAGTTGGTGTCTCGGATACTGCTGAATACAGCAATGTCGTCATTTGGTATCCTGAAGTTGTGGTCAGTCTTGGGTCTGCACAATACGTTAGCATGGCTAAAAGAGGATGTTTTTTTGTGATCTAAATCAAAATCGTATACCTAGTACTACTATATGGCAAGAGCATACTCTTCAAGTCTGTGTTCATGTCTGAGTGAAACCCATCACAGCCCATCAATGTCTTAATCCAGTTTGTGAACGCCCGCTTCTCTAGCGACCACGAGGTTCTGCATTCATCACAAAACAATCCACACAAAATAGGCTTACTCAAACTGTTCGAGAGCCGACTGGATGGTTTCAATGGCCTTGGAAACGCGTAGACCAAGAACACTATTCGGTTCATTAGCAAGTGCGCAAACGGCTGAGTCTGCTATCGCCACGGGATTCGGCTCGTAGGACACAATATCTGATGGGATTCAAAAAACAGGCAAAATCGATAATCGTGTTATCAGCGTGCTATAAAAAAATTCAACTGAACATAAATCTTCATGATATGAACGCTACCGCGTGCGATGGAGTAGTCTTTCGATATAATGCAATATTCTGATTGGTTATTTATTCGTGCCCTGAATATTTAGATAATGAAATATTTATCCCCGAGCTCCCATGTATGCTCAAGTCACCCTCACCAAGGGCGTTGCATCCTATATGGGCCCTGGGCGTTACAATTCAATGTTGTTAAGCGCATTACGTGACTATCAGGCGACGCGTCAACTGTGTCGATTAGTTGTTGTCCTTTCGATTTAGTTTCGGATGACCGTAGATCAACGGGTTTTATCAACCCTGTCTGTTTGAACAAGATTGTGTGTCGTTTAGACTACGATTACCTGCGTCTACCACTCCAATCACCGTTTGCTAGATCAATATATAGTCAGCTCTCAGCCGAACTTCTCTTTGTCTCACACACCCCGAGTTACAACAAGTACGGAGAAGGTTTTCTGATTTTCCAAAGTATGCATATAAATGTGCTATCTTCGGGTCGATTTAACGACCGAATCGATATCCGAAGAACGATCGACTGGGGATAGATATACGGAATAAGGGTATTCTGATAACAGGGATTCGAAAGACAATCTACAATATCTTTTTCATGCTGACGAGATAAAATATGGTTTCTAAGGGTGCTGTGATAGTTGATTTTAAGCGCCTGGCTGGCAATCGTTGAAAGTTCGAGGTATGGTTTATTACAATAACCACCAATGAATCCACGAAGGCAAGGCTGTTTTGTGCTGGCCATAATGAACTAGCTTTTCAATAGAAAGAACAAATGAAAGCAATCGCTCTCCTTTAGAGAGAAAACTGAAGTGAAGACATCTCCCGGAAGAAACTACTCATGGTCTGCTGGTTTACTTAGTCCCCAAAGGATGAGTCGCATTAACTAGTGTTTTTATTTATTGCGGCTGTATACTGCTAGGAACCGAACAGCACTCCTGTTTGAGTTACGCTTGGGAATGACGTAAATTTCTTGGCACAACGGACTTCCGCATTCCTAATTCAGATGTAGATTTCATTAGCTGACCTATGGTTAAACGGAAAGCACATTTTTTTGACTTGGCAAGCTGTAATAGATAAAATAGGTACAACGTGAGCGCGGTATATAAGAACAGTCGCAGAACTTAGCAGGCTATCGTTTACGCGACAAAACACAGACAAGATAGGCGACGGCTGACTATTTCTGTTTTGGCTACTAGATAACCTTCAACTTCAAGGTCCGATCAAAGAATATGAACGGAGTCACCTATTCCGTGGCAAACGGTACAGACGAGTATAGCTGGTCAACAACACATACGAGTTGTACCCATCAGACGAAACTGCTACTGCGGGAAATATGAATCGTTTCACAAATTAGACACCACAGACGACACGGCTGACGATGAAATTCAGACAATTCAGAGATTGAAGTTAACTTGTGCGGAGTGGTAGGAGCGACATTAGCCGACATCAAAAACGAGTTAAGTTTTGTTTTTGTTATAGCGGGATGAAGTAAATAATGCAGAAAACGTAACTGGTTCAAGTCTGTTCTCGTTGGCTTTACAATGTATGAACCACTCTATCTTCTTCAAAATATCGGTATCCAAATGATTAGGTTCACTGCTTGTTCGAGAAGGAGCTTGAGATCGAAATGGGGTTGAGATCACGGCGTGGAAATGCATTTCCCTGGATCGTCCAGCTTCTGCTAGTTGTAACACGCCCAAATCACACTTCAAACGGGAGGTTATTTATGACTGAGATCGTAAACTGTTGATGAGCAAAACACCCTTCGGTCTGGTCTAGCGGGAGTAACCAAGCAATGACCGCTCAGAGTAGTGTGATTCGAATACAAGATACACTTTCTTAATTGGACTGCGAGATTGTCCAAGCTCGTTAAAACAATCACCCGGACTATTGGAAATCTTAATTTGTTCTCAAGAAGCCATTTGTAATCTCGCAACTTTCCTATACTTAGCTAGTCACAGGTGACTACAAGATGACGTCAGGTTTGTACGTATACGTCTGTCTGTAGCAACAGATTTGTGTATTTCACTATGTGGCACTCACAATTAGTGAGCGTTTATAACTGGAAAAGTGCTAATTCTCTGATAGAGTACCTGGGCCGAAGTAGTCCTTTGCTTCTTGAAATGCAACTTCTAACATTTCCTCATCTTGTGAGTCAAGGACCACACGAACCCGATAATAACTGAAACATAAAGAAAAGCGATTTTTCATGCGTACTTCCATTCGGAGGGATGTTCGCTTTACACAGATACGGCAATTAAGCCTACAATATACTAACTATATCGGGAAGATGTATCGCTACACAACCTATATGACGCTAAAGGCTGAAAAAACATCAACACTAATTAGTCATGCCATGACCGTGCGCAACCCAGGAAAACCGCCAGAGCTACCCTATGAAAATATTTCTGATATGCCTAACTGATCTCAGTGGTTAGGACGCGAACTTACTGACTGGGTGGTCTAATACGGCTACGCATCAGCCTACTGCGCAGCGGAACAATCATGTGGAACAGAGCCGTGCGACTATGCCACCACGTCGGAATGACGTCCGATTTCATCATGTGCCGGAGAAAGGTCAAATAAGGACACAGAATGTTCACACCCACTCCATGGCCAAGGCATCCCGTACACAAGCGCACAGACGGCCATCTACGATCAATCGAGACAAAGGAACAACCGCCGGAGGACCGGTGTGGGTGTGTGGGAGACACACTGGTTGGTTCACAGCGGATCGACCGTCAAATACGGTGACAAGTGAATCATATATACACAAGTTTGTAATTGCGTTAATACACAGTTCCTTCAGGTCGTCTTCTTGTCTTCTGACTATAACCCGGTAGCGTCGTGGCAGGTGAAGAGATTACAACAGTGGCGACGGGTCATTTTCATTTCGAAACTCAATCATGGCAGTCAGTTTCGAGCAAATGCAAGCTCTACTGCAACAGCAACAGGCGCAGTTTGAAAAATCGCAAGCACAGTTTGAAAAGTATCAAGCAAAGTTCATCGAGACATTGTCGCAAATTTTTTCAAAGCAGGCAATCGCAATATCAGCAGCACCAGACAATGTCCTTTCACCTGAGACCCTGACGCAGCAGATCAATCAAGACCCAGGCAA